TTCTATCTACTTATTTAGAATGTATAGAAAATATTTCAAATTGTGATACAGTTATTTATTTATTACTTTAAGTTCTAATACAACTACTAAAAGATAAAAATAGAGCTGTCTCCTATTCCTGGATGTAATCATTGTAAGGAAGATTTAACTTTATTAAATAATATATATACTAATTTTCTAAATTAAAAGTTTTTTCATATCACCATTAAAATTTTTTAATTGTCGACAAATATATCACCAAAGAGGAAACGTAAAAAAGAATCTCTTCTAAAAAAGAATCTCTTCGGAAAAAACTACGGAACACGACCAGCATTATACAAAAAAGACAAAAATTTTGCGACAAAAGATTTGACAAATGGAATCACGAATTATTTTTTTAAAAGGAATTCTCGACTTTCTGAGGGAAAACAATGTATTGGAGATTGAAGAATTATAAATATTACGAGACGTAAGTGGGGCAAATTCTAAAATAAAATAGGACAATTCCATTCTATAAATTTAATCAGGATCACGTTAAGCTTCTGTTTGATTGCATTAGATCAAAGGGAAATAGCAATAATAACACAACAGCTCGACAATTTCAAGTTGCAATAAAAAAAATATCAGTACATCGTGAATTGAGAAATGTTTCGATCGGAAATTAATCTTAGAAGAAATTTCTATTCTACATGTATCATCTTTTAATAAAAATGTTAATTCAAAAGATGTTATTGAATGGTCAAGTGGATTAAATCGGTTGAAAGATGATATAGAGTTGTAACGGATAAATGCCATAAATTGTAAATGATTATTACACTAGATTTAACATATTTATTTGAATTTGCAAGCCAAGTAACAGTGTATATCGCTGGATATGTTGTCATGCAATTACAAAAACTATTTTATGCAATCATTGTATAGAAGCATTGAAATCAAATAAAATCATATAGTATGACAGTTTAATTGCTCATAAAGATAAAGATAGATTAACATACTCATCTAATGATGTAATAACAATTTTTCATGTGAAAAAATCATTAGAAATGCGTTATGTAAAAGTGGAGAAATACAATATATGAATAAACAATTTACCATTTCCTACTTAACAATTAAAGTTTTAAATAATCTCATTAAAAGCAAATTATTTATAAATTTAGAAAGTCATATTGTTCATTTATTATGTTTAATATGTAATAAATATATTAGGTGTTGGAATTAATTCGTAGCGTTTTTTAATGAAAGAATGTTATTTATTTCACATGAGCATTAAAAAATACATTAATGAAAGTACTTCCCATCACTTGTAAAACGCTACGAATTAATTCCAACACCTAATATTAAAATACGATTACATTTTATTACGCAACAAGTTGTAAATACGTCGATAAGTATGCGACGTGTGTTAAATTAATTTTATTCGAAGATATAATAAAATTCGTAATAAAATTCGTTAAATCATATTCTCATGTGTAGATAAGTGAAAGTAATTTTTCAGTTCAATGCTTAAATAGAATAATGTTTCATTCATTTATACATCTCAATTAGTAAGATTGCAAAATTTATTAAATTTATTACACAATTACAAAATTAAATATATACAAATAAAAACATTAGATATTCATATTTACAGATTCTAACTTCTAAATATTTAGTATTTTTTAATTTCAACCTTGACGATCGAGGTAATATATTTATAATAAGATATTATCGCTTCAATATCAATATGGTTTATAAATAAAATATTCTCTCTCTTTCTCTCTCTGTTTATTTTAAAAATACTTATCATAACATTTATAATTGCAAATAAACTATATAAATAAGTTTTTAATTTCGCGCATTTATGCTAGAACCAATCACTAATGCGGTACCACGTGACTAAAGTCCCCCCCCCCCCCGCGAGACGGCTTCATTCCCCTCGTCTAAAGTACAAGTTTATGCTCCCTCCCGTTCATGAGTGATTCACTTGATTGCCTATTGCGATTTGGTTTGATTCGTTTTTTATTTGATTTTTATAAGTGTGACTCGTCCCTCGATCGTTTATAGTGTTGTTTAGTGCTATTTGATATAACGTCGACAACGTTGTGTATAAAATTAACACTTACTTTTTCAACGAAATACTCTAAACCAGATGGTAAAAACTTTTATCTTTTCTATACAATCAGTAGTTGTATCCTGCACAAGTGATATAATTATAGCAATTGTATCATTTACAAGGCCCAAACGTATCAATCAATAGTGCGTCTTATCTCCAATTTTAATTGTAATTCACTTTGGTAGTCCATCTATTCTTCTCATCATTATTACAACCTGACCAATTTTAGTTACTTTTTTATATGTAATTTTTATATGTAATTTTTAAAGAAAAATATCAAAAATATATAATAAGTAACACATATTTTCAATAGGATTGTTAAAAAAATGTTTTTTTTATTTTATACAAAAAACATTGTTTTTTTTATTTGGAGCAATGTTTTCTATTTTATTTTGTGTTTTTTATGCAATCATTGTATAGAAGCATTGAAATCATATAGTACGACAGTTTAATTGCTCATAAAGATAAAGATAGATTAACATACTCATTTAATGATGTAATAACAATTTTTCGTACATGTGAAAAAATCATTAGAAATGCGTTAGAAATGTAAAAGTGGCGAGAAATACAATATATGAATAAACAATTTACCATTTCCTACTTAATAATTAAAGTTTTAAACAGTCTCATTAAAAGCAAATTATTTATAAATTTAGAAAGTCATATTGTTCATTTATTACATTTAATATGTAATAAATATATTAAAATACGATTACATTTTATTACGCAACAAGCTGTAAATATTATACGTCAATAAGTATGCGACGTGTGTTTAATAAATTAATTTTATTCGAAAGTCAGTAAATTGTATGTACACACACAATATATATATATATATATATATATATATACATGTATTTTTTTTGTATTTTTGCTATATATATCATTGTATCTTACGCTACGTTGTTATTGTATATATACTTATTTATATTTCATATATTTTTTTAAGCAACAAAAAAGCATGTTTTACGATAAATAACGTTTTTTTTGTTTAAAATATGTTTTTTTATTAGTTAAACAAAAAAATATTGTGTGAATATTTGAACCTTTTGCCAAAAAAAGTAATAAATAACTGATAAAATCAGTTATTATTATTTTTATTTTTATTTTATACTACTGCTAATATGTTTCTTGTGAGCGTCACTGAGCACTTTTCCAAAGTGAATGCGAATTCATTATCGATCTTATTGATCCTGTGGATAAATCGGGTTGATAAATCAGAGATAATACTGGTTTATATCATTCTGCAGCCATGTCTGACGTTATATTCTCTACCGAGCAAAAACTTCGTTCAAAATTCATCTTTTCCCAGCAAATGAGAATGAATTGAAATGAATTGAAATGGATTCAGAGTTTCAGAAATATTGATTCACGAATGTTAAAATGAATGCTTTTCAATCCTGAATGCATTTTTATTCATTTATAGAAATTGCATGGAGCATATCTCTATGCCTTTCAATCTAAAAATAATATTAGCTTTTTCTGTGCACAATACACATTGTGAATACTGTTCAATTCAAAATTTTGAATAGGAAATGCAGTTTTTCAATCCAATTGAATTTAATTGAATCCAATTGAATCCAATTAAATCCAAAAAAGTATTCGCTATTTAAAATACGCATTCGAATAGAAAAAAATTTCAATCCATTTTAATCCATTCTCGTTTGCTGGGTTTTCTGGAAGCGATTAAAAATGTTAAGCTAAAATAATATGGTAGCTTGTACTAAAAAATAATATCAATGTTGTTGCATTCGATTTGGTAACATATTTCCATTACAGTAATTGCTTCTTCTGCATAGAAAGATTGTTTTCAACTTTTAGGTTAATATATTACAAAACTAAGAAACAAGTTAGGCACAGAGAAAGCTTCCAAATTAGTAACAATTTTGAAGGCATTGAACAAAAACACTAATCTAATTGAACATGAATATTGAGAATTGAGACTGAGATTGTACAATATAATCTGATTTTTTTAAAAGTTTTTATGCTTACAGTTATAAGTAAAAAAAACCTACTACTGAATGTAATTTATATTCCGTTAAAAGATTCACGAATTTTATTTTATTATTTATATGTTTATAGTCTATATATAGTAATATTAGTAGTAGTACATATAAATTATAAATAAATAAAAAGATTGTTTACAACATACATATTATTTTTTGTTTCTCTTTTACAATTTCTTTTCCAAATCACATATTTTAATTGTAGCGTTTTTAAACAGTTTTAATTAAGAATTTAAAATTGTTTAAAACAAGTGTTTTAAACAATGCCCAGTGTTCCAAATATGTTTTAAACAAACTGTTTTAAACATTTTGTTTAAAACATAACCCTGAATTATAATCATTTTAGGTTGAGACTATTTGTATTTTTATTGAAAGTCTTATTCCAAAGAAAAATAATAATAATTTAACTCAAGTAATAATTGTTTTAATTCTCGTCCAAAAATTATTACATAAAAATTGATATGTTACAAAGTTTACTTAGGCGTTCCGTTTCCGCATGATAAGCATGATGCATCATTTATCCTTGTTTATAATAACATTCGTGAATAACGTGAAATGGAACGTAGCCTTACTTAACTGTAATGATATGTAAAATTTTTCAAAAAAAATAATAGTAACTTTAATAGTAACTTTAAAAGTGTCGCAACCTCATTGCTTCTGATTGTACATACTTTGTACCCATTCGAGACTCTTCTTGCCTATCACAAGTGATAATAGGTTATTCAATTTTCGCTCAAAATATTATATCAAAAAATTATATTACCTTACTAATTAAAGTGATATATATATATATATATATATATAGAATTCAAAGAGGTAACAGAGCAACAAAAATTTAATATATATAAAAAATTTCACGTAAAAATACTTGGCACTGCTAAACCTTCAAATATAAGCGGATTCCATTTTTAAAAATTAATTGTGATAAATATTTTTCTTTTTTGAAAATTTCTGTAGCATTTTCTTAAATTTTCATGTTTCTCTAATATTTTTAAAGCATTTATTTTGCCTTTATTGAACAAAGCTGATGTATCACGTTCTGTGATTGCGTGTAAAAATAGAATATGATCTTTACTTTTTATGTACGACTCAAAACTTTTTGAAGAATATATTTTTGTTTTAACATTGGCTTTTCTGGGTTTAATATATTTCTTTAGTCAGCAGGAGTATGTGCTATTAGAAGTACTAATAAATCAATGTCTTCGCCAATAATAATGCTGTTATTTGTATTAGTCTGTTTGTGCTGTTTCAATGATGAAAACATCAGTATCATCCTTAATTTGTTTCACGTTGATGTTAGCATCTTACAATTTTTGAGATAACACAAATAATGATTGAACTCCTGCTTTTCATTGTGGTGATAATTTTTTCCTGTATCTCTGTAAAAGCTTATTCTTAATAGGTTTTTTTATCAGGGATGAAATCTTTATAGACACTTTTCAAGTGAATTGATAGTCATCATGATTTTCAATGATTTCAAGCAAATATGTCTTCCATTGCTAATACTATATCCTTTTCTTTAAGATGATCAACCTTTACTCCTTTATTAAGTTTGATGAAGGAAATATCATGAAGGCAATCATCATGATACTTTGTCTTTGCTGCTACCAAGTTGCTCATAAATAATCCGTCTTTTAACAGCTTTAGCTGTTATTCCCACGCTTATCCGCTGCTTCGATTATTGACTCCTTGGAAGTGTTGAAACGTGTTTAATTTTCCGACGATTTTCTTTACTTTTCTTCGTTTCTCTCTACTCACTTGCTTCCTCACTACAAAATATGCAGCATTCTTTAAAATCGAAAGTTGGTTCACTGGAACCAATGCATTTAATTCAGAGGTAGATTAATCGCAGACGTGCTGGTTTTTGCATTTTGCTTCCTTTTGCGAACCAAAATACTACTCTTTCGAGTATACTCCTTACGGCACTGCACATGAATTTTAATGGAACTGACACGACATAAATGTTCAATTTTTCCATCATTCCTTTCAGCTCGCGTCTCTTAAAGTTTTTATTCCACGTTCAACAATAACAGTTGTCCCTAATTCGGATTTATCGCATACGAAGCATATTTCTTCCATTTTTCGAGTACTTTTAATAGCGAAATTTTTAATATTTTCACATTAACTAGGCACGTCCATCGATAACTAAGAACAGTCAAATACTAATTCTGTATGGAGGTTTCGTTTATTGAGATCCGTAGCAAGTATATAGCGATCCATACCAAACAAAAGACAAGGTTGCAGACCCTTTAGATTCTAGGAGGGGATCTATTTAGTGTTCAGTCCACATCTGCGCACCAAACTACTCTACAATCTAGTCAGTGAGCTCCATAGTATGTTTTCTATAGTTTAGTATAAGTATGAGCTTATTTGATATAAATTTGATTGTGTGTAATACACATCTATACTTTTTAGAAATGCAGGTAATATATCTTATAGAAGTACAGATGCTAAACAGTAAAATTTGTTTTTATTCAGTGCAACACTCAAATTAAATTATACATATACTTTATTATTTTTAATATTTGGTCTAGCAGCGTCAAGTGTTTTTATGAAAAATTTTTATTTATTATAAATTAAATTTTTTTGTTACCTTCTGTTACCTCTTTAAATTCTTTATAACACTATTTAGTAATACTATTAACTAAGGTAACATAATTTTTTGATATAATATTTTAAGCTAAAATTGAATAACCTATTATCACCGGTGATAGATAAGAAGAGTCTCGAATGGATACAAAGTACATACCACTTAGATTTCTTTTTTTTTTTTAGTGCAACAATTGTGTTAGACCGACTACACACGTTCAAATAACTTGTGAAGTATACTTATGCATATAAATTTTGTGAATGATAATTTTTATAATGTTGTTTGAAGAAAATTAAAGCTACAATATTATTTCTTATTAGAATAGAAAGACTTTGAATGAAAATATTTTTGAAGAAGAATTAAAGTTACTATTATTATTTTTTTAGAAATTGAAATAAAAAGATTTTCAATGAGTATATAGAAAGACACATAACATATCACATAGTAAAGTACCACTTTTACTTTTTAATTTTACTTTTAATGGATATAATATTTTTTTCGACATATCACTTATGTTTAATTGGATATATAAATTAATCTCAATCTATAATGATTTTTTTGCATTTGTAATTAATTCTACAAAGTAGATTTAAAAAATCCTACCACCACCTTTATCGTCTTATAATAGTAATACGCCGATGGTCATCTGTATTCAATGAAAATATTTTTTAAGAAAAATTAAAATTACTTTTACTTTTCTTTGGGAGGTTGGAATAAGAAAGTAGTAGAATTTAACTTGGTGCCAGTTGTTGATATCAAATCTTTCGTACAAATGAAACATACCAAATTTTTTATATAAATGATGTATTTCACTAGAGTTAAGTAAATTATGTTGCATGTTCTTTATTGTGCAGTAAAGAATTAATATTGCATTAACAGAATTTAACTTAGTACCACAATTGTTGATATCAAATCTTTTATATGGATCATTCTAATCATATAAATCATATACATCTCACTAGAATTAATTAAAAAATTTATGAGATTTGGTCAAAATAGGGACATAATAATTTTAATGTAATAATTTTTGAAGAGTAATTGAAGGTTTTATTATTTTCTTTTTGATAGGTTGAAATAAGAGCTGAGTAATAAAATTTAATAACTTGCCATTGATATTAAATCTTTCTGTTAGTAAAAATAATATATTACTTTTGCTTTACTTTTAAAATATACATTACATATCTCTTAATAAAGACAGTACTGGTAGTATCACTTGAGTTTTATTTTTTAATTTGATACAGCAGTTTTTTTTTAATACGCATTATTTAGGTTTTACAAATACAAATATACAAATGCTCTTTTTCGAAAAGCACGCATTCTTAGCATTTTATTTATCTTTTTTTTTAAAAAGATATGTAAGATTGTATACTATTAAAGTTACTATGATTTTCTTTTTGAGTTCATTAATAAATATCACGACGATAGCCATCTATATTCAATGAAAATATTTTTAAAGATTAAAGTTACTAGATATTACTTTTTTTAGGAGGCTGAAATAAGAAAGTAGTAGAATTTAACGTGGCGCCAGTCATTGCAAATTTTTTTTAATAAATGATACTTAAATGATACATATCACTAGGGTTAAGTAAATCTAGAAATAGATTAAAAAATTTCACCACCCCACTCCCATCTTATAACAGTATAATAATAAACAAATGATATTTAAATGATACATGTCACTAATGTTGAGTAAATCTACGAAATATAATATATTTTTTGAAAAGGTAAATTTGTATATAATTAAAACTACTATTAGTTTTTTTGAGAGATTGTACATATCACTACAGTTAAATAAACTTTGTAACATAACAATTTTTATGTAATAATTTTTGAAAAAGAATTAAAACAAAAAATTATTACTTGAGTTAGATTATTATTATTTTTTTTGAAATAAGAAGACTTTCAATAAGAATACAAATTAGAACACACGCAACATCGTCATATTTTTATATAAAAATTAATAACAATTGCTAGCGAAAAAATAACATTGAAATTGTTTTATAATTCAAAATAATCTGAATTCTCTTCGCTAATCACTATTGTTCAGGTGGTAAAATCGGTAAATAGAAAAATGATGTAAACTTATAAGGCTCTACTACGAACATCAATGCATATGCATGTACATCAGTATTCATGTGCAGTAATACGTTAACTTATGAGCTTTTGGGACTTGAGTTCTAGGGCGCCGAAATGCCAGGGGCGCCTGGGAGCGCCACAATTTAAAAATTGAAAAAAATTAAGTTATTTAAACAAGTACATTTATAATTTTTGCGATTTATAAAAAATCATTGAATAGTTGATAAATAGCATCTGTTGTTAATAATATATGTATGTACTTAGCGAGTAAAGTTGTCGCCTTCTTAACGTGATATAATTAATGACATGATTTACTTTTACAGTGCAGCTCATTAATTCGCTGGGTCATAAGTTAAGCCGCTCTACTATGATCCAGCGAATTAATGAGTTGCACTGTAAAGGTAAAGAAAAATGCGGCTGTGAGAAGTACAATTTCTAAAGGAATCGGTAAAGCCGGAAAAGGAAGCGCTACTTTAGCGAAGGTATCGAAATTGTTTTTGATACTGAAAATGCAATGAAAATCGAAATTTATTATCCAATTTGGACAACCTTATCAATGTCCTCGAGAAAAGAGCGGCAAACTATAAGGACATCATTCGGAAACATTTGGATTTTTAAACAACTCTATTATGAACAGTAGCGGTGAACGATCATTTTCGGCATTAAAAAGAGTGAAAAACGCTTATAGATCAACATTAGACTAGAAAAAGCTAAACAACCTGTCAATTTTAAACATTGGAATCGGAGGCAAAATAGATTTTTATGATGTAAAAACATTTTCGCAGAAAAAAAGTCGTAAAGTTACTTCCTAAAAAATTCTAGGCTTATTAGTAGATCTATTCTGTAACTCTTAACGCAAGTTTTGTTATTGTTATAACTCCGTAAAGTTTTTTTACTATGAAAAAGCTGCGGTGAAAAAGCTGCGGAATGGCGTTATAACGATAACGAAACTTGTTAAGAGTAACCTAGTAGTCCTGCAACACTGTTTTCTGTTCAAGAACGATGTGGTAATGAAGTAGCAATATTGTATTCATGATAGTAGCAATAATAAAGAGATGGGATAATCGATTTTAAAAAAGAAGTCGATACCATTACATGTTACTTTTGAAAAGTGATCTTCGCAATGCCGACATTACCGGTTCTGTCATTTCTGTCATGGAAAATTGCGACGTCACCATCCCCCAAAAAAAGATCAGAAAATCGTGGAAGTAGTGCCCTATGAGGGCGCTTAGAGATCACAAGTTCCTGGGCAAATTTTGTTAACGCGGCTTTGTTCACGTATACATATATATCCATGTGTTTATACATGTCCCGCGCCCACGAAGAGAGTGAATGTCAAGCCACTCGCTAGGATGATACATTTTACGCTATTTAATAGCTTTCATGCTCAAGTGTCAAAGCGACACGACGTCCTTGCTGTAATCAGCCGGAAGTTGTATTAATAGAACGATGCGCGATTCACTGTTTTACAAAATTTTTCTTAGAATCGATTTCGTAGCTCTTTACTTTCGGTGATATGTCGAATCCATACGAGCGTAAAGTTGCTCAATATCGCAATAAACAAATTACTTTTAAAATATCTTAGCAGATAAATAAATTATTCACTTATTTTTTTTTTAAATAAAAATTTTAGAATATATAGATATAATGACGCATTCGGAGAGCAAGCTGTCAATGTATTGTGTTATTCTGTTTTTATACTGTTTGTTAGGTATAAAACGAAGACAATGACTCACGTTCTCCGAACGTGCGTTATCTAATGTTTTCTCATTTATTTTTGCGATAGATATATTGAAAATTTTCCATGACGCAACATGATGCGAAAAACATAATTCGCAAGAATTTTTTACAGTAAAGTCTATTCTACAATGTGCTTTTTGTTTTCTGTTTTCTGCTTTTTGTTATTTTTTACATCTTGTCTTTTCGCTTCTTATCCAGTTTTTTGTCTTATGTATGAGATAAAAAGTTAACGAACTTCGAAAAAAACAAGAAATACATAGCAAGAAATACAATTATAGATAAAATGATTGCAAAGGAGGAAAAAGCAAAAGACAAGAAACAGGAAACAAAGAACACATTGTAGAATAGGCTTAACTGTTTAAGGAAACATGCTAAGTATTTGTTTATTATGTACCTTTTTTTTACTGGGAATTAAATTTTCTATTCAACATTAAACTAGCGTTTTTTCGTGGAATTTTTAAATTAAATTGAAAATTTAGTACCAACGCGGTATATTTTGCATTTTGGGTTATTTACAATTAGTTTGCATATCTTCGTGTCCTTTCACAGAATAATCGAGCTAAAAAGACACTACAACAGATGCTAGCGAAAGATCCACCAGAGATCTCATGGGATTACACGCTGGGTTCGCCCAATGGCGTGCCCTTCGATGATGACACAAAGGAATTATTAAGGAAGTGCCTCGATGTCTCCGTGTCGCCGCCAATCAGCGTGACGGAGCTAATCAAACGAAGCAATGCATTCCCCTTAAAGTTTCCAATTAACACCGTAAGATGCACCGCTTTGAAGGACAGGGGAATCAGCATGGATTTTATTAAAGTTTGTATAAAATAAGTTATTTGCTCGAGTGATTAGTATATATGGTCAAACAAAAGGAATAAATGCTTAATTAAATTATATTTCTATTTTAATTGATACTTCTTTTAAATATTTGTTAAATATTTAAAAGAGAAATCGTTTGAAACTTTTATTATCAAAAATTTGTTTCGTTTAGAAATCTTTAGAAATTTTCTTTACAAGAATATACAGTTTAAAGATTATAATTCTGTCCTCGAATCTGAAATATTTTTTTATCATTTTTTATTTTAATGTTTAATAATTTTGGCTAATTTAATATATATTTGATGATCTTTGATAACATTTTTTAGTTAAATGCAAATTCGGTATATCCACTGATACATGAAGCGATGTTGCCCTTGATTACGCGATGGTTGAAACACAAGCGATTGTATGGTAGCTCTGTTGAGAAAGCCATGTATGCGGACATGGGCCTCATCCAATTCATCCATCGCCTGCTGGATAAGAGAGTGGCCTCCTTCTATGGAGCTAAAGATCGATGGAAATTACTTGATAACAAGAGTGGCTTCGGTGCCTGGGAGAGTGTTGGCACCGATCAGGAGAAGGAACCACTGGTAAGTACATGGCGCCGTCTTAATCAAGCAATATATTTATAAAAAATAATTATTATGATTAAATTATCTAATAAAAACAGAGAGAGAGAGAGAGAGAGAGAAAGAGAGAGAAAGAGAAGGTAATAATAAAACTTAATATAGAGAAAATACATATAAGACCTTTAATGTTAATTTATTTTAAAATTTAAATTCTTTTCCGATGACACAAGAAATAACAGATATTGGTTAAATAAATAAAAGCTTTGGCTTTCAATAAATAAAAGCAAAAATATATAATTGTTCTTTTTATATTATCACAAAAGTAGTTACATATATATTTAAATAACAAAGTGAAGAAGTATTTTTCGCAATTTTCTTATTTCCATAAAAATTTCTTATTCTTCTTTTTTTAGTCTTTTATCAGTTTATAGTATAGCTATAGGCTATTAAATTGTTTACAGATTAATGTAATGTTACGTACATTAATCATTTATCGATATTGGAAGTTTATTGGATGTTAAAAACAAGATAAAAAGTTTCATAGCATCACCTTCTCTCGTATATCACCTTCTTTAATGTCACAGTGCTTTAATAGGCTTTAAAATCTCATAGGTCCTAACAAAATGCTTGAGCTATGATGAGATTAAACTGTCGGCAATGATGGTGGTGTCATCTCATACAGAGTTCATAAACGACGGTTCGCGAAATAATAGAGGTATCGTGAGCTGTGATCCAGGCGCCATCCAACCTAGAGGGATTATTATGAGTGTCGTAGGCACAAGGTTCTATTCATTTATTTTTAACCCCTCCTTCAGGAATATTTTTATACGTGCAAACTCTCCATAACAATGCTGTCGAACCAGTAGATGCGTGTTCTATTTATTTGCATACGGTTATTTATAACTGTAAAATTAAAAAATTGTTGAAATTATAAACAATTAATTATTTTTAATATACTTTTTTATTTTTATTCTAATTCTGTTGTCTTTTGTAAACATTAGAATTTGTCGTTGTAAAGTTGCTATGTTATCATTAAATTTGAGCCACTCGTACCACTTAATTTGTTATGTAGATTCAAAAAACCCCGATATATGGAGTATCAGGATATTGCTATCACACCACAGCAGAACAATATAGATAATGGGTAAGCAGTAAGTTTCCATAATAATTGTTAATTAAATATAAATTTATTGAGCGATAGAAAAAAAAGTTTTTAAGTTTAATAAATGTAGTCATTGGAATTGTTCAACTAAATCGATTCTTTAAATTAAGAAATGTAATTGATTGCATTTAAATTAAATTTTTGGGATTAAACAAAATAATTTTTATTCAAAAGTAAATTGTTCCAATGAAATAAACGAGTTTTAAGTCCAAATAAATTGTTTCCTCTGTACACATATCCGAGAAGAAACATCGCATATAGAAACATCAATAATATCATGTTTCAATAATATTTATAGTTAATTTTTTTAATTCTTTCTCTTAATAATAGTAAAGATTTTAATCAATAAGATATGTCCATGCATCGTGTTTCTACCAAAATTTGTTGCATATGCAATTTGTATTTGTGATAAGATAATAATAGATTAATAATCGAATTAAATTACATTATAATGTATACCACTCTCTAGTTCTTTTGCAGTATACAAATAAAACTTTTTTAAAAGAATCAATCTATGCAAAATAGATATGGATCCGCAATGGATGGCACATTTGAAGAAAAACACGAGATGCGTGTTTTATGGGCCAAATTTTATGGCGAGGATTACCATCCGCTGTACGATGAAATCGTGAAACATGTGAAATCGAAAGAGAACAGGCGGTATATATCATTGAGCAATCAGTTAATCTTCGATATCGAGAATTATATGAAGAGAACCCTGCTCTCCGTAGAGATAATACTGCTCGAAGCAAACAGCCGCGCTGAGAAGCAAAACACCACCGCCTTCTTACACGTAGTTGGTTTTGGTCTCGGTTAGTGTGAAGTTTTTATTGTTAAAGCTTATAAGATTAAAATTAAATGTTATAATGTTAAGCATTATAAGATTAAAAACTTAAATATTGTATTATATACAACAAATTATTAAAATTATTTTTCATACTGTTCTCTTTAATTATTTATTAATTAAATAATTATTGGCAGGTCTCTGGAAAATAATTGAGGATCAGGAAATCTACTTCTTGAAAACATTCGAGATCGCCATCAAAAAGATGAACAAAAAGCTGAAATACGTTTCTGACATTATGTTTGCTTATTTCCGGCAACAGAAATGCGGTAGTGCAGGAAACGGCGATTATCTGGATGGTTAGTATTTAATAAACGGATAAATATAAACATGCTTACAACTTTTATACACCACGATTATTTTTAGATATAAAGATACATTTTGCTCTGAGAGAACCACATAGCAGACTCCAAGCCGAAGACTCAAGTAAACTCCTCGTTGTAACTTATGCTAGCGATGGAAATACGTTACCAGGTTTAAATTATTTATTCTATTATTTATTTATTTATCTAAAAATAAATGTTCATTTATTTAATACTCAATTATACTGATATAAATAAACTTCAGGTCCGATGCCGATTTTTTCAAATTTTTTATAGCTGTTTTTGTCAAAGATGAAGAAATCTGTATTTAATTTTAGCTTAAATTGAGTCTTTCAATTAAAAAAAATTTTTTATTTTTTATAAATACCCAATTTTACACATGTTTAAAGTAATATATATTTTTTGCCAGTGGAACCGTTTTTTTACTATTATTAACTATTATTTTAGTATTTTATATGTGTGTCGAGCTTTAAAAAATCGAGTATAAATTTATTCTTAAGAAAAAAATACTGCTTTGCAAACATGTCAAATACAAAAGAATTTCTTTTAATGAAATTTTTTAATTAATAATAGATTTTTTTCATACTTTTTGACATAAGAAATAATTAGTTTGAGAAAAAGTTTGAGAAAAATCGGTGTCTGACGTTCTCTGAGATTTACTTGTGAGATATCTTTATCAACATCTCTCTCTTCAAGACAATGATGTTTTTGCAGGGAATGAATTCTGGTTTGGAAAGTTAAAAACTAGTGGCGATCCCGCGGCCGCATGCAGCACTCAAATAGCCGAGCTACATAATTCTAAGATTAATTCACGCGCATGCGGCGCTAGTTTGCATGTCGCATCCGTGGAGCATGGAATTCTTCACATATCGGATTACGCGAAGCTCCATTTTATTTAGGTAACCCTGACAAGTACTTCCTTATCAACGCTGGTCTTGTTGAACGAAATTCGATTTTGCGATCCACATATGGAACTATGAATGATGTTGCCTTTATATTGTTAATGCGACAACACATATTTTTATTCAGTTGAGATAAAATCTTGTTTTGTTTTATCTTTGTATTTATTAGCAGAAATATTAAAATTATCAATAATATATTGCGTGTATTTTATTAAGCAATATTATCAATTATCGAAAAAATTGAATTGTTCAATAAAAAATTATTATTAGGAGTTTATTAAATGATTTATATATCCCTTTTTTCCTCCATTCCTTATCCTCCTTTATACAATAAAGAAGTTAATTAACTTAATTATTTAAATTTTTTACTATAATGAGAGATCTTAATAATTTCACATTATTATTCTTACAAGAGAACCACACGAAGTGATAAATTCTAATTTTAATGAAACTTTATATACATATAAATTATACATATCTAAACCTTTCTGCTTCAATTTTGCTTGTCCTTGACAAGCCATGTTGACACTGACAGGCAGTGTTAAGCCAGGATTCCGTGAAAACAGATTCACTATTTTTTTATCGTTTTTTTTTGTCCACTTTGCATATCGAGTCACGTTTCGATAAATCATCGATATTTTTTGCCACATTATATCGCTGTACCCACTTCTGTACGAATGATTTCGACTTTTTCATATATTTAGCCGCTAATTGTAACATTTTTGGACCTTTCGGGTGAATGCAGAGGAACACAGCTTCATAGCGTGATGCGTATTTGACGCTTAATGTAATTCTCTTAAGAAAGTTCAATGACAACTGAATTTTTCTTGATAGTGCATCAAGGACAAATGTCCTCTATGGATTCATGATAGATTTATGGCGATATCTTTTATTAGCTTTGAGTAAGGCCGACCACTCTCTTACTTGACTTACTATGTATAAGTCCTTCTTCTAAACTATTGGAAGTATAATAGCAAAAATAATGAACAAAGAATTTCCAAATTATCATGGGAACTTCATTCAGAATAGTTCAGGAATTTGTAAAATAATTGCAGATAAAGTAGAAGAAAAAAATAACAAATATGACAATGCCACGAGAAGTATCATTATACTTAATTCGTACGCGACTTACATCAGAGTGCGAATAATTAACAAACAACTTTCGGCCGAAAATTACAAAAGAAAACATAACAAAAAAATGTCTATATTTACAAACTGTAGAGTTACTACAAAATAATTTTAATATATATTTATATTTTTTTACATATATATTTATTGCCTGTTACTTTTGTCCATTTACATTTATGTTTATATTGTCAAAACATATTTATAATAAATATTTATATTGTATATACATTCTTTAAGAACTTGCTCAACTTACTTCAAATACCCGCTAATATTTTATAAGATGGCGGAAACTTGTCACGCTTTCTTATTGGTCAATAGAAATGCCTGCGTACATCTTGTTTCTTATGGTACACCATGATGGGAGTTACGTTATAAAACATTTGTATGCACGCTTCAGTACTAACCTCACACAGTAAAGTTGATTTTGAAGGTTTCCAATCAGAAATTCCAGCATCAATCCATTTTTGTCTCGAGACATTTTTGCATCTTGGGCAAATGTTGTGCAGCAATATCCTTCTTTATCACAGTTTGTGCATCTTGAAGCACTGTACCTGGCAGGCATTTTATAATACGTATAAATCCTGTTCAGATATCTGAAATGTAAAAATTCGTAGTTTTATTTCATATATTGGGTCATCTAAAAAGTATCCGCGGTACTTTGTCACTAGATATATGACCATCAACACACATCTAGTGACAAAAAACCGCGGATACTTTTTAGATGACCCAATATTTCCAAAATTAATAATATGTATCACTTACAAAGACCTTATCAATTGTAAAATTGAGGAGAAAAGCAACACAAAGTGACAAGCGTACTGCTTTTGCAGTCATCTAATGACAGCACAGACTCTTACATAACGCATAATGCATAATGCGTAAGCGAATCAACTAATCAGAATCTTTCCTTTCCTCCCATTTCATAGAAAAAAAAATTTCGATTGATTGATTCCTTTATGCATTAGTTTATGCTGCGGCCATAACGTAAACGGTATATCCCCACCATAGCTCTATGAAGCTTAATTACCAGGTCCAATCAGAGGAGACCGGGTCACGTGAACATGCAGTTTGCCACTCTCTCCCTGTGAGGCTCTCTACGTAAGGAGGCTTCACACAAAAAAAGGAACAAGGAACAGAGAATAGAAAATAAGAATTTCAATATATCAGAAATCATGTATTGTGGAATATGGAGTTTCTGATAAGTTGAAATTCTTATTCTCTGTTCTCTATTTCTTGATCCTTTTATTGTGCAGAGCCCCTAACTTGCATCAGCCAATCAAATCTCAACTAGAATAATGCGTAGTAGATATTATTTGATTGGTTGACGCAAGTTACGCTTACGCAAGTTGCGCTGCATGTGTAAGCAGCTTAAATGTCAACTGTGAATGGTCAATTCTGTTGAATAGCAAATGCGATTGATCAGTTCCAATGTAACAATCGTCCGCTTAGTTTAATCGAAATTGATGAGCCGGCCTTTTTCGTTTTACGATATTTTTATCTAGTGATTTTAAACTTCGGCGCGGCTGACATCTACAATTCCTAAGTGTATTTTGAACTGCAATAAATTATGGCGAATCGTAGGATAGCGCCGTGGAGAGGTTTTTTATTTCAGAGTTGTTCGTACTTTTGAAGCAATTCAGAGTGCGAATTCGCACAGGGAGGACTGGAGTTTGTATGTTTGGTAGACATCGCGAAAGGTTTCACCTGATGACGTGACGACGACGTAGTAGTGATCGATAGCATCTCGCGCGATCCTGCGACGTCGCCGAGCATCACCGAGCGATATTCTGTCTGTCCGAATCGCTACGGATTGTTATGTCGCGGTCCAAAGTAAATTAGACGATTAACATTTATTCTTTGACTGACAGCTGAAGTGTGTTGCGTACATTGCACCTGATGCCGGATGGTCCTCTGATCTTACGTTAAGAATCGAAGTGAAGAATCACAATGGCTGTCAACATGTCAAATTTGAAGTATACCTGCATCAATGACCTCGTGCAAAAGGCTAAGATCAATTACGTAGGTAAGGAGCCGCGCTTCGTGTACCAAAGGCTCCACGCTATGCGAGAAAGTTCTGATTTGGCAAAAAAGGAAGGAGACGATGAGAGAGCATACATCTTTTTGAAGAGGTGGCTGGATTCGGTTGAGTGGTTGAAAAGAATTCATAACAAGGATGGCAAATCGGCCTATGCTACGAACATGACTATTGATCAGGTAAGAAGTAACATTTCTAAAATAACCAGCCTGACATTTCTTTATATAGACAATGGAATACATGAATGTTTATATTCTAGATAAATGAAGTGAAAAACATACTTGCAGACTTGAAGCAAAAGTTAGAGGTACGTTATGATCTTAATTTGAAGAAGTGCAATGATAAGCTGGAATTAATGGAGGTAGAAATGGATGAGTCCAAGATGCCAAATAGTGACATTGGCTTGAAGTTACCAGAAATACCAGCTGAAGATATAAGTCTAAGTAGCGATAATGACAACTTTATATCATGTGATAAATTGTATAATCTAATACAAAAGATACGTGCCAGATATTTGATTATTGATACTAGGCAGAAGGATCATTATGAAAATTCCAGGATATCATCCGATAGATGTATTAACATTCCACAGTCTGAAATTAAAAAAGGGTAAGCGAAGCATTTTCATGCAATCTATATTATTTATATATAGATTGCATATTTTTTATTATTTATTTATATTTATTATATATTTATGTTACTTATATATGAGATTATATATTTTTTTGCAGTTTTACTACAGCTTTATTTATATTAATTTTTTATGATGCATTTTTGCTTTCAGGCTGCTAGGCACTCACTTTGAAAAATATTTTGCAAATGATAAGCATTCTTATGACTTATTTGTTAATCGATCGGCACAACATACGGATATTCTAGTCTTGCTAGATTGGAATACTACACAAGAAACTTTGACACCGTGTACTCATATAAATCTATTAAAAGATATTTTTGAGAAATGGGATCCCGGTATAAAACATAAAAAGATTAAAATTCTGAATGGAGGATACCAGGAATGGTGGGAGCGATATCCAGCATTTACAACGAATCCCAGCATCGAAGTACCTGAGTTTAAGATCGTTGCACTTGATGAGAAGATTCTCGATACGTTTGAATACCCTTCTTGGGCGTGTTCTGACTCGGAAGATGAAATCTTGAAAAAAGAAGAAGAGCAAGAAACGAAGAACAAATTGAATAATGTGATCAGCTCTAACAATGGTGTCGACATGGAGATGGATCATGGCGACAACAAATCAGCGATATCTAGACATGTCAGATCGAATAGTAATGATATCAAATCCAAGAATTTCATTAGTCATGTAACAATATCAATTAATGATAAACGACCGTCTCGAAGTGACAGTGTAAATGGGAAAAGTCCAGTCCGATTGGAAAGTCCAGAAAGTCCAGTATTAACTCATTCTAAGATATTATCAAGCAAAGTGCCACAAAACGAAGTGAGCGCGAAACCGGTGATTGATCGTAGCAGTAAACCGACCACCTTGAAGACATACGATCCACGATGTAAAGAAGTATTAAGGTTTATGAAAGAATTAAATGAACTTGCAAAATCGAAATCTAAGCTTGCCACTGAGTTGTTGACCCATGAATATGAGCTTTATTCGCAACGTGAGAACAAGTACAGTCCCAGCGACGAGAAATATCTACGAACAGAAATAAAGTCTCTGAAAGTTAAATTAGAGGATATGGTACTTGTTTATTTACTTTTTTATAATCTGCTTCACAGCGAACAAAAGCTGTAAATTATGATAAATTTAATATTAAATGTTTCATTTGTTACAGCATAAAATGTATCTAAAAATCGAAAATGAGTTTAAGACATATTTAAAGGAAACGGATACAATTAAATTTAATCCCACTGACGACCGTGAGAAGACGAATCTTGATTTTAATCTCTCTTTGCTACAGAAGGAAATCAGAGACATTGAAACCAAAAGAAAAAAGCTACAGGAGTAAATATATTATATATAT